CTCAAGCTAGAGGAGCTCCACGTTCTGGGCGTCAAGGAGCTCGCCACTTGGGCGCCCCCTTGGGTGCCCCACACAGGGGAGCCCACCATGAGGGACCTCCAACTCGTTCTCGAGCTCCTTCTTCTCATGGTAGAGACTCATATTTTCAAGAGAATGAGGGAAAAAATCAAAACGTGAAGCATGAGAGCCATTTCTATGACAATTACAAAGGAGTTCCCAAACCACTGGAATGAAAATATAAAAAAAGTGCAGAATCAGCTAGGTGACGTCTTCAATGCCATGAAGGCACAAGGACTCGAAACCGTTGATTTCCTCGTAAGGCGAACTGACACACCCTTCGTACCAGATGTGGCGAACTATCTACTTTTCCAAAAGTTTAAAATGTCATCTTTAGAAACTTTCGACAGTAAAAAGAACCCACTTGATCATCTCAAAACCTACAAAACCTTAATGCAGCTACACAACGTCCCTGATGAAATTATGTGTAGGGCATTTTGAACTACCTTGAAGGGATCAGTGCGACAATGGTTCGCCAAACTCACCCCAGCCTCCATAGGCTCCTTCGCCAAATTGAGCAGATCCTTTGTGGCACATTTCATTGGTGGACATCGCCAGCAGAAGTCTGCCCCTTATCTACTCAGCATAAAACAGGATCGAGACAAGAGTCTGAAGAGTTACCTCATTCTTTTTAACGAGGAGGTCCTTCAAATCGAGGAGCCCAATAACAAAGTCACCATGACCGCCTTTTTGGGAGGCCTTCACTCATCGAGTTTTCTCTTTTCAATAATGAAGCGCCGTCAAAGAGCATGCCAGAACTATTGGCAAAAACTCAAAAATATATGAATACTGAGGAAATCAACAGGTCAAGGCAAATCAAATCATCTCACGGATCGCCAAAAGCTTAACCAATCTCTGCTCTGCTTTCAAGTAGACAACCTATCTCCAGCTTAGCGACTCTCTTGCAGGTCACCAAAAAAACTTGGTCTATCTTTGCTCTGCTCCCAAGCAGACAACTTATCTCCAACTTAGCGGCTCTCTTGCGGGTTATCAAAAAAGCTTGGCCTATCTTTGCTCTACTCTCAAGTAGTCAGCCTATCTCCAGTTTAGCGGCTCTCTCGCGGGTCGCCAAAAGTCTGGCTTATCTCTGCTCTGTTCTAAAATAGGTAGCCTATCTTCAACTTTGTGACTCTTCCGCGGGTCGCCAAAAGCTTGACCTCTACTCTGCTCTCAAACAGATAGCTTATCTCCAACTTAGCAGTTCTCTCGCAGGTCGCCAAAAAAGCTTGGTCTATCTCTACTCTGCTCTTAAGCAAACAGTCTATCTCCAACTTAGCGGCTCTTTTATGGGTCACTAAAAAAGTTTGACCTATCTCTGCTCTGCTTGAGAATAAGCAGCTTGTCTCCAGTTTAGCAGCTTTCTCGTTGGTCGCCAAAAGTCTGGCCTATCTCTGCTCTGCTTTGAAACAGGCAGTCTGTCTCTAACTTAACGGCTCTCCCACAAGTCGCCAAAAACTTGGCCTCTACTCTGCTCTTAAGTAGGCAGCCTATCTCAAGCTTAGCGGCTCTCTCGCGGGTCGCAAAAAGTTTGGTCTCAAAAGGTGCAACTCTCTCACGAGCAATCCTCAAATTCTCCCCCTGCTCTCACACAAGCAATCTGCTTCTCTCTCTAAGTAATCATGTTAGATATTTTAATGTTAGAATCTGTCATCTCTAATCATGTTTTTGAAATTCAGGCAGTCTGCAACCCGCGAGACTACATTAGATTGAATGTCAACAAATCGACCTCATTCATCTAGCACTGCCTACATATTTGCCTGGCCAAGCCGAGTGTCTCTTAGGGCCATATTAGCACTCACCAATCCTTGACAAGTGTCTGGAGTCCCAGTCCTGCTTCACAAGCAGCACCCATCACCTCTCCAAAGGCGCCTAGCACCTTAGGTGCCTCTCCAACTGTGCACAGCGCTATGAGCGCCCTTCTAGCACCATGGACGCCCCTCTAGTAGCGCCCAACACCATCGACACCCTCTATCTCAATGCCCACTCCGTGCTTGGCTGGCCCATGAGCCCCTAGTGACACTTCATTGCCACGTTGAGTAGCGTACAAGGCACCTCACCCTCGGCCCGAGGCGTACCCATCTAGAATCGGACACCCAACTGCCTACACACCTAGATTGATGCCTAGGATCGCACACCCAGCTGCTTGATCGCCCAGATCGGCACCTAAAATCACTTGCACACCTAGATTGGTGCCTAGGATAGCGCACCCAGTTGCTTGATCCCCCAGATCGGCACCTAGAACCACCTACTCGCTCAGATCGATGCCTAGAATAGCGCGTCAAGCTACCTGCTCGCCCAGAATAGTGTCTGCTTGCCCAGAATCAAGCGACCAGCTGCCTGCTCATTATTTTGACAGTAAATTTTGCTTTGTTACTTCAAATGGAGCTAATAATATATCAAATCGAAACTCTAAGCGAGGCTTAGAAACATATGTTTTGGCCTTTCAAAGTTTTTCTAATTGTGCATTCAACCGAAATTCAAATTCAACTGAGTGCCTTCCTCTCCAAGTTCCATTAGACACAGGGTATTGGAGGGTAAATGATGGGTCAAGTCCAAGGGCTTAGCCCACGATGTAAGCCCAGTTTAAATTAAGAGTCCAACTACAAGAAATCCAGTGGTCCATGCTCGGTCAAGCTCATCAAGTTCGAGAAACTACATCAGCAAGGGAGTATGCAAGAGTCATCCAAGAGCCTCATCCTCGCCGCCTTGGAAAAAGTGAACACTCATCTTATCCTTTGACCGAATCTCGTGAAGAGCACCATAACTCCCTTGCCCTCTGAGAAGAGATCGTCAGCTTCACCAGAATAGTCACTTAGTTACTATTAAGTCGCCCCAATCTGTTAAGAGACGACTATAAATTGTAAGTCCTATCAATACTTGGGGAACAGATCACACTCAGTCGAGCACAACTCTTCTCTTTCTCTCAAGACTTGTAACTCTCTACTCTTGCTATACACTTGAAGTAATAAAATATCTGGCGACCCTAGCCATTCAAAGTGGACGTAAATCATGTTGACCAAACTACTATAAACCTTGTCTTACTTATGTCTCTCTTAATTATTGCATTTATTACTGTTTATCTAACAGATGGTGTATAAACTTAATTTGTGTACCATCAGATGTAGTCAAAGAAATTAAGGGAAAAAAATATTATTTAAAATAGTTGAATCGATTTTTTAGGCTCTCAAATTTTATGTTTTATTATATTTTTAGGTACAAGTTATGAACAATATATTAATATTTTTCAAAAGAAATGAAGCTACGTCTCCTTACCGTTTTCATTATAATGGTAATACTAGTTATGGCCGAAATCAACACACTTGTGTCATCTGTATTGTGATCTAGCTGGTACTCTTCTCTAGAAGCATTATCTACATAACCACCATATTCAACATTCAAATCTGGTTTTGCATATAATGGGCGGGTCAACTACGGCGACTGATCCCCTAGCTTTTTCAATTTTTTTTTTTTAAAAAAAAAACTACATACACAAATTGTGGAAAGAGAGTTAATGAAGCATTCCCTCTGTAATTAATCAATTCTAAGATTTTTGAGTTATGTAATTAAAAACATTTAGCATTCTTCACTCAAATCTTTCCATGTTGCACTTAATATTAGATTATTTTCATCTTTTTTTAATCAGATTAGTACTCGCACAATGTGGGATAGATGTCATTTTTTATTTTTGTGCCTATCAAAAAGGAGGGAGAGAGATATGTTGATAGGTCTTCACCGATGAAATCACAGCAATTGTGATGGAATACCGGGAGCACAGGGATGAAAAAAAAAATAAGGTCTAAGTTCTGTGTATTACACAGTGTCGTTAGTATATTAATATATAGAAATAGTATTAAAAAGTCAACGTTATAGGTAATTATCACACCCACACAAGACTGAAGAAAAGCAATTACGCATGTTTGCCCAATGGTTAATTCACTGAATTGTTGAGTTGTAGTGCTGGTCAACTTTTTACGCTACTAGAAAATTCATCAGGGAGAGAGAGAGAGAGAGAGAGAGAAGGTAGGTTGTTGCCTTAGTATATCTTTTGCAAGTATAGCCCCTTTCGGACAAGTAATGAATTTATTTTTTATGTAATTTGTTTTAAATAAAATCATTTCTACCGACGAAAAAAAATTAATATCTCATGTTTGATACTGGTTGTAGGGTAAGAGATGATACTGGTTGTAGGGTAAGAGATGATGGAGTGAAGCTTATTCCCATGTCAAATTGGGCTTATGAAGTTGTGCACATCCCAAGAATTTAACAATTTGAATCTAATATGTAGTTCAAGTAATAATAAAAATAAATTATAAATTCAAGTGTTCTGAAGTTAAATCTTGACATTCACTTGTGAAAACGTCATGAGTGATTTAACACTCACGAATATCCTACTACGGTGTAGATGATCTGTTTTTAATTGGATAAACGACAGAATTAATTAAAGTGCATATAAGCTGATCTGAACGCCCTTGACCGCTAAACAAAAAAAAAGATTATCAATTTGCATTAATTTGTCCCTCCCACTTAGTTATATGATGGGCATTTGAAAATAGAATGGATTGAAAAATGATAATTTTGCAAAAAGTTCTTGAGTGGTAAGGGAATAACAAGTCTTCCATTTGGTTATTCTTCCACTAGGTGTAGGTGCATTCTACCCCATATATGTATATCTTTACATACAATTTTCTCTTTTTTAATATTTCTTCCGCTACCGTATATATGAAAAGTAAACGAAGTGCACCTCCAACTGACCCATCCATGAATATTCTCAACTTAATCCGAAGTTGGAAACTTCTAAAAACTTAGGTCAAACTGCATGCAAACCCAAAAGAAAAAGTCAGCTGTGACCTTCCTTCTGACCAGTGCTATGTGACTTTGCTGTATATAAATGGGTTTTGCTCCAAGATTAATTATCCCCACATATCTCTCTCTCCCCTTCCATCATGTCTTCTCCAAGTTTTACCTCTTCTATCTATGTGTTTCTCTTGGCTCTCCTGTTCCAAATTGCCATGGGAGTTGATCCCCTCTTCCATTTCTGTTCAACCTCTGAGAATTTCACAGCAAAAAGCTCTTACGAAACAAACCTAAACAAACTCATTGGTGATCTCTACTTCAAAACTCCTCTGACCGGGTTCGGTCTCGACTCCGTTGGACAGTACCATGACCAGGTCTACGGGATCTCTCTATGTCGAGGCGACGTTTCAAGCACAGAATGCAAGGCCTGTGTTGCTGAGGCGGGCAGCGAAACCCGAAAACGCTGCCCCGACAACAAAAGTGCAATCATTTGGTACGATAATTGTCTCCTTAAATACTCAAACAATGACTTCTTCGGAAAAATTGATGAGCAAAACAGGTTTTACATGTGGAACTTGAGGAATGTAAGTGACCCTGAGTCATTTAACCTAAAAACTCGGGAGTTATTGAGCCAATTATCAAAAAATGCTTATGGTAACCAGAAAATGTACGCCGCCGGAGAGTCGAAGCTCGCAGATTCAGAGAAGCTCTATGGATTGGTTCAGTGTACCAGAGATCTTTCTAGTGGTAATTGTAAGAAGTGCCTTGATGATGCCATAAGTGAACTTCCAAGCTGTTGTGATGGAAAAGAAGGAGGGAGAGTTGTAGGTGGGAGTTGTTATATAAGATATGAAATTTATCCATTCGTCAAAGCTTAGGGTATAGGAAAATCCTAGGGCATGGGGGTTCTAGTAGTATTGCTATACAAATAAAGTGTTATACACACATTTCTATCTCTGTCACTCGTGGTAGGATTGTATACCTTAACATCCTAAATACTATGGGGCATGTCACTTTTTTTTTTAAATTATTCATGAATTCAATAAACTTCTGGCCTATTTAGTGTTGTATTACTCATGGAGATCTTTTTAGAAAATGTGTTAATTAGGATCATACAACAACGGTTAGCTCAATTTCATGCCCCTATTGGCCAACAATCTTTTATAAGGAAGATTAAATGATCCATGTAGCTCGAGTTTAGCTAAGTTTTGGGTCATTCAAAGCGTAAAATAATTCATATTTAACCATATTTCTATATGCTTATTTTGTAAATGAGCGAAACAATTAGGGTTGTAATTTCAGTTAGGGTTATAATTTGAGATCACTTGGATCCATACAAGAATTTTAGTTACAATTGTTATCAGAATTTTGGCGATCCGGCTGTGGACGCATCGAGTCACTGTAGTCGAACAGTGAGTAAGATATAAATCCAAACCTTTTTAAGTTTGAATCTTCTAACCTTAACTATATTAAATATAAATTTAACTAGTGCACGTGGTCGGGATAAGAACCTTTCATCTGCTGCAGTGCACTAGGGATTAGGGTAAAAATAGTTGTGTGAATTGTTTTTTGAGCTGTCTACAAGATCTTACAACTTCAGCATAGGGTTGTCAGAAGCGGCATTCATTGGGTGAGATTTCAGTTTTGGTTTCAAAAAAGGTAAATGGCACTTTGTAACGATATTAAGATTATCGCTTTGTACAGACTAAATTTTTTAGGATAAATTATATCTAGACTCCCTGAAATTGGTTACTAACTCACACGAACCCCCTCAGGTATGAAAAATAACATTGTCACCCCTTGAACTATGGGTACATGTAACACAAACATCCCTTGTCGTTAGCTCCGTTCAACTTGCCGTCAAAATTGAATGACATCAACATATTATTTTAAACAAAATTCTTTAAAATTCAAGAAAAAACCAATAATTATCCATGCCCTCAAAACACACCCGATCCATCTTCAACCCCTAAATACATCTGGCACAAAATCAACCCCCATTCTTCCCCGCTACTGTCCAATCCTTCCACCCTAACCCAGTGTACCCATTGCTATAAAAAACCATCAAGAAGTGTTTGGGGGAGAGAAAAGGGGAGAGTGATGCACAGTAGACTTACTCCACCCCCAATTCACCACCACCGAAACACCATCCACCCATATTTGCCACCATCTAGAACACCCCAACCCCAAAATCTGGTACTAAAAACACCCAAGCCATCACTGAACCCCACACAGAAAAATTAACCAAGCCACAACAATCCAAAATTCCAAACCCACCACATACATTCTAGCCCTTTTGTCACCACTAATTCTAGACCCGCCAAATATGCCACCATGAAGTAGACCCTCACCCCCAAATTCTCTACCACAAAACACCAAAACTACCACCGTACAACACCCATGCAACAGTTACAACTACCTCCACCGAAATCACACCCTCAAAATTGACACTGTCGAGACCACCTCCACCCCCAAGAACCTTAGCCACCATTGGATCCCACCCAAGTAATCATAGCAGCCACCACATCACCAAGCCGAGAGAGACAGGGGAAAGGAAGAGTCCATGCTCACTATTCTGGGAGAGGGGGTTGCAACAGGGTAGAGTGATGGAGGAGCAATCGGTGCCTTCGATGGTGATGATTGCGTAGAAGCTGGGATGAAGATGGGACAGAGGGAAAAAATGGGATATTTTATGGGTTTTGTGTTCGGGACAGGTTGGTCAGTTTTGAATTTGAGTTTTTGTTTTATCTGAATTTTATCAAGGATAAAATAGACATTTAGCAACTTCTGTTAGGTCTGTTAGATAACTGTTACGGACAGAGAGGTCTCAGTGTAATTTATCAAATGTGAGGGGGTCCATCTGTTTAAGTGACAAATCTCAGGGAATCTAGATATAATTTATCCAATTTTTTATATTGTATCGTCAATGTATCAAAAATATTACAGTTTGACACTTTCTATTAATTTTGTTGTCAGTGCCACTCACTTGGTTGGTTTTTAATAGAAAAAATAACGAAAACTAACAAAAGAACCATATTACAACGCTTTTGACACATTGAGGTGGTAATGTGAGAAATTTATTATTTAAGAGCATAAAATAAGTATCTTAAAATTTTTTAGTGTGTAAAATGTCAAAAACCCTTCAAAAAATTACTAGAAGTCCTCATTTTAGAAAGCTCTGGTGATGTAAAAAAGGAGAAAATCATTGCCTTTAATTCAACCTTTTTTAAGTAACAATAAAATAAGGTATTTTTTGGGCACGTCTCTATTTGATCACTCAATTAGGAATACTTTTATAATTTTACATATTAATTTTATTTTTCAAGTAGTTTCTAACAGTTAGGGTTTCTTATTTCTATTGGACTATAAACATTATTCCACAATTTTTGTTATTTTACAAGAGGGTTAATTGCAGCGGTGGTCACTAAAGTTTGCACCCTCTTAATTTAATCCCCAATGTTACACTTGTATGACATTATTCCTTGTTGTGTTCAATTTTGTTGTCAATTTATTTCTAATTGTTTTTACTCACGTGCTTCTCAAATACTCCCAAATAAGGGGCATATTAGAAAAATCACTATTTACTCAACTCAAAATTACAGCAGTAGTCTCCATAATAAGCGCTCCGTCTCATTTTGGTCATCAATGTTATAATTGTATTACATTAGTCCCTAATGTATTCAATTTGTGTCTAAGTGGTCCTTGCACATGACACTGTCCAGATTGTGCTACCCACATGCCCCAAAATGAAGAACATATTTGATAAATCACTATCCGTTTCACCCAAAAAAAAAAAGTGTTATTTATGGAAAGAAGCTTTCCCGCCAAGATTCAACAACCGTAGGATACTGTTATTCCCTCCTTTCAGTCATAGGTGGTGAGAAATAAGAAAAGGATAGTACAAGAACATGAATTTAAAGATGGGTTGTATTGGTAGTAGAGAATAAATACTCCTCGTATTTTCCTCTTCTTGTAATTCACCATTGACAACTGAAAAGAGGGAAAAGCATAAACCAACGACAATTAGTCTTTAGAAGGAATGTTTCTCTCCAGGAACAACACTTTTCCTGGGTCTTGTGGACAATGGTTTATGTAATATGCCCTTCATTTGGAGGCATGTGGCTTGCTCATGGGCAGAGCGTGAGGATCACTTAAAAATAATTTGAAGGGCATAATGTGATACTATCGTAACTTTGGACATCTAAATGAGACGGAACATATAGTTTGGAGACTTTTGTCGTAATTTCGAAGTCAAAGAAGTAGTAATTTGTCCAATATACCTTTCATTTAGGAGCACATGAGAACACGAGCTCAAATTGTTAAAAATTTGCACGGGCATCCTGCATGTGGACAACTTCAAAATAAATTGAATACATCAGAAATTAATGTAAGACAATTGTAATGTTTGAGACCAAAATGAGACAAAGTGCAAATTTGGGGAACATTGCTAGCTACAATTAACCCTTTACAATAATATTTTGAGAAAAATTTCTTCTTTTTTTTTTCAATTATTTCGGTATTTTTTTATAAATTATCAAAAATATTGAATACATCAGCAAGTTTAAAACTACCATGTTAATCTATATTTCATCTATTCACGCTTGCTACATCATATTTCAATTATAATTATTAGCTGTAATTAGTACAATGAATTGTGTCGTCTTATGACCGTAATCATTTTTGTTTGGTTTTGTTGTTTAGGAAGTTGCAATGTTGGAATTTAAAAAAAAAAACAAAAAGGAAGTTGCAATGTTGGTTTATTGAACTAGTTCTACTATTGGATCAAAAAAAAACTAGTTCTACTAGCATTATCAAGAACCAGTCCAAACTGTTTTGTCTATGATCACGGTACGACTTGGATCACCTAATAAATTTCATCGTACAAGATTTATATTCTTAATCTCAAATTGTGCATATGATATCCTAATCCAAGCTGGGTGTTGCATAATGGTTGTCAAAATGTTCAATTCAATACGTATAGGGGTAGAGTCAAAACTATGTATTTTTGAAACAGTCAAAATGATACTATTTTTTTTTAAATGTGGGAGAGGAGAGAGGAAAAAAGGGTTGAGGTTTGATCCCACAACTACTTGTAGGTAGAAGTGAGTCCTTACTATTGGGCTACTCCCTTGCCAGAAATGATTTTCGTTGTCTGAGTCTTGAACTCGGGTCATCAAAATGATACTGTTGACACCCTTTTTCTTGCTGTAAATATATTAATATTTTTCAAGGAAATTGGAGCTACGTCTACTTTCCGTAGTCATGATAATAGTAATACTACTTATGGACGAAATCAAAATATTTGTGTCATCAGTCTTGTGATCTAGCTGGTACTCTTCTCTAGAAACATTTATCTACATAACCACTATATTATTCAACTATGGCGACTATTCCCCTAGCTTTTTCAATTTAGTAAGTAATCAAATTGTGTGAAGGGGATTTACGAAGTCTCCCCTCTGTAATTACTTAATTCTAAGATTTTTGAGTTATTTTTTGTTAAAAACATTTAGTGTCCTTCAATCAGATTTTCCACATTGCGTTTAATATTGGATTTTTTTTCATAAAAATCAATTCCTATGTATCTCTTTTCCATATTTATTATGTCCATTTAACTAGTTATTACAATAGTTACTCACACAACGCGAGATGGATGTGGGTTGAATGCGGTGAGTGTGGCGGGGATTGATGCCAAGGCGGGATGGGAAAAAAGAAGGAGGTCTAAGTTCTGTGCAATACACGAGTCTCATTAGTATGGTAATATGGAAGTGGCATAAAAGTAGGTAATTATCTAACCCACAAAGGACTGAATAAAAACACTTATGCATATTTGCCCAATGGTTCAGCATTGAGGTGTAGTGCTTCTTCAACTTTTTACGCT